TCCTTAAGGACTTGTAATTTTGACTTTAATCGACGCGTAGGCCCTTCCGTGGGTTTAACTTTAAAAAAAAAAAATCTAGATTCAACACTTTCAATGCTATGTTATTCTCCTTTTGCTTCTCACCTTCATCAATATGCCTTTGAGTCACTCATTGCTCGTAAGTAATTAGTGATCCAAAAAGATTGTTAATTGAATAAACATTTAAATCATTAAACTCTATAATAATAGTTATTTTTGCATCATAAGCAGCAACAACAACAACAACAACAGCATCAAGTCTTTATCCCACTATGTGGGGTCGGCTACATGAATCCTTTTTCTTCATTGTGTCCTATTAAAAGTCAAATTCTTGTTTAAATCTAATAAAGAAAGGTCATTCCTAATATTTTCTAACCAAGTCTTTTTAGGTCTACCCCTACCTTTCTTAACATAAGTCAAATCTAATACCTCTACTCTCCTAACCGGGTCATCGAAAGGCCGTCGTTTTATGTGGCCAAACCATCTAAGGCGACTCTCTCTAATTTTATCTTCTACTGGAGCTACTCCAACCTTTTCATGTATATGTTCATTTCGTATCTTATCTCTAAGGGTAAAGCCACTCATCCACCTGAGCATCCTCATCTCTGTCACACTTAACTTAGTATTATGCTTCTCTTTTAAAGGCCAACATTCGGCACCATAAATCATTGCAGGCCTCACTACCATCTTATAGAATTTTCCCTTAAGTTTGAGGGGTACATTTCTATCACATAACAAGCCCGATGCATTCCTCCACTTCAACCATCCAACTTGAATTCTGCTGATAATATCCCCATCTATTTCACCATCACTCTGAACAATAGATCCAAGATATCTAAAATGTGTACTCTTATTAATGACTTGATCGCTCAAAGTCACAATCCCCTCACTAGGTCTATTACTACTAAACTTACACTCCATATATTCCGTTTTAGATCTACTCAAGCGAAAACCTTTAGACTCTAAGGTTGACCTCCATAATTCAAGTTTACCTTCAACTCCCTCTCTAGTCTTATCAACAAGAAGAATATCATCAGCAAAAAGCATACACCAAGGTACATCCTCTTGCAAATGTCTAGTGAGAACATCCATGACTAAAGCAAAAAGATATGGGCTTAAGGCTGATCCTTGATGTAACCCAACCGAAATAGGGAAATACTTGGTCAATCCACCTTGTGTTTGAACACAAGTAATAGCTCCTGCATACATATCTTTAATGATTTGAATATAAGCATTATTGACTCCTTTCTTTTCAAGAACTCTCCATAGCACTTCTCTTGGAACTTTATCATATGCTTTTTCTAAATCAATAAATATCATATGTAGATCCTCCTTATTTTCTCTATATTTCTCCATCAAACTTCTTAATAAATGTATGGCTTCCATAGTCGACCTACCCGGCATGAATCCAAATTGATTTTGAGAAACATTAGTATCACGCCGCAACCTATGCTCCATAACTCGCTCCCATAGTTTTAAAGTATGACACATTAACTTAATACCTCTATAATTCGCACAATCTTGTGCATCACCTTTATTCTTAAAAATATGAATTAACACACTCATTCTCCACTCATCTGGCATCTTCTTAGTCTTCAAAATAGTATTAAAAAGTTTAGTAAGCCATGAAATTCCTTCATCTTCTAAGCATTTCCACACCTCTATTGGAATATCATCAGGTCCAACAGCTTTTTCACCCTTCATTTTCTTTAAAGCCTCTCTAACTTCAGTTTTACTAATACGCCGATAAAACAGAAATCTTTATTTTCATTTAGGGTGCTAAGGTCACTAGAGTCAATCTTATTTTCACAACCTTTATTAAAAAGTTTAGCAAAATATCTCATCCATCTTCTTTGTTGAATATCTTCTAAGAAAAGTATTTTTTGATCTTCATCCTTAATACACTTCACATGAACTAAATCCTTACTACTCCTATCTCTTTGTTTGGCTAATTTATACATATATCTTTCTCCCTCTTTAGTATCTAATCTATTATATAAAACACTAAAAGCTAATATCTTTGCATCGCAAATTGCTTTCTTAGCATCCTTACGAGCCACTTTATATCTTTCCCAATTTTCAGAATTTTTAAAATTAAACCAATTTTTATAACAAAACTTCTTATTTTTTAATCTTTTCTTGCACATTTGGATTCCACCACCAACTATTATTACTATCATAATAATAATAATAACTAATCATCATTAAATAATAATAATAATAATAATAATAATAATAATAATAATAATAATGATATAATAATAAAATCCCCCCTTCCCCTCTATTTACGGGAACTGGCCGCAGAAGCGCACGTGAGAGATAAAGTTACCTTTATAGCGCGAGCTCCCGTTGCTGCTTCCGATCAAACAAGAAGGGTAGGTCGTGGAAGGAGCGAAGTCGGACAACCACCGAAGGGCCGAAAAAGTACGCCAAAGGTAGAAAGTTACCCTCACAGCGGCGAGCTCACGTTGTGGCTTCCAACCAAAGTGTCGTAACTTCTGATTCTAGAGGAAGGGAAAGCCGTCGAAGCTATGAAGTCGAACAACGACGAAGGCGTCGAAGAAGGACACGAGAGAGAGATGGAGAGAGAGAGTCGGGAGATCGCGAGAGAGAGATGGGAGAAGAGAGCGAGCGAGAGCAAGAGAGGCCGAATGGCCTCGTCTCTTCGGCTATTTAACGACGCGAGGTCGTGCGATGTGTGAGCAGCGTTGCGGACATGTCTGCGACGAGTGAGGTCATGCGACGTCAGGGCAGGTATGGATTTTTTTATTATTATTATTATTTTTTTTTTTTTTTTTTGGTCCTGAGGTCAACAGAGGTTAACAGCATGCATGCCTTTATAATATAATGAAGTCACATGCATTCATTCAGTAGTGTGCTAGAAGACATATGGCTTTACTGCTTGGCGAGCTTACATATGAGGCTTATGCACATCTTTCTTAACGCACAAAAAGAATTCTCTTAGATTTTGTATGTGCTTTCATTTTACCATACCAAGCCCGTAAAGAATTCCAATACCCTATACTCTCCATTTTTGGCTTACGATGAATTTCACCTCAGTATTATGTACCACTTATGTCCATCTTTCTTAGCATGGGTTGGATAGGCACAAAAATAACCTCAATTGGCACATGCCGCATCTTCTCAGCCTTGGTGTGGGCGGGATAACTTCGATATGCTTCTCACTAGTTCCTTCGTGAGGTCGACATGGAAATTCCATCGAAATTTTTGGTGAATCCCCTGTAGATGAAAATTTTGTCGCCCTGAATCAAAAAAAATATTGTGCAAACTGTTGCCTAGAATATCATTGTGGAAATTGTTGTCGATGACGCATACATGATTACGAACATATAAATGAGTAAAACAAACTAAATGCACCTAAAAATGTGCAAAAAGATTAAAATGGAACAAAGCAAACACTTAATCAAGTTGAAATCTGCAAACTTCTGTAAATTTATCATCATCGATAGAGAACCAGCGCTAGAATTGAGTCAAGTTGCAGGATAGGTCAAGCAAGACTCCTTCCACCTTGTCACAACAAAACCAAGCCAATAAGATTCAAACTCTTAACTGAAAGACATGAACCCTGGATCTCTATTTGTAGCTGTCTGAACCATACTATGCTTGTGTCACAAATCACAATAAGTGACCTGGATTCCTTTTTCTTATGGGAAAGGACACACTGAAGACAAAATATCGTATCTTTCCAATATCAGTTAATCCCATGATGGCAAAGCCAAAGGATAGATCACTCAGTGAGAATAAATCTTTGGTTTCAACTTTATAAACTTAGCAAAAGTGTTAGTTATTGTTCTTAGTATTTTTATGCAAGCCACTAATTAATGTTTGACGATTTTTTTCTTAATGCAAATGTCAATTGATGGAAGGTTACTAGATATATAAAATCAATGCAACAGGTCATTTAACAAAGGCCTTGTTTAAAGATTTTTATAAAGCATATATTTACAGTATTCCATATGGTATTACATTTGATATTCTAGATAGAATGTATGACTACCTACCTTTAGAGAAGACCAATGTTCAAACCTTCTAGAAAGCAGATTTCCTATAGTTAATTTTACCAATCTGCGAAGTGACCTTGTAGATTGTTCGGCTTCATTAAAAACCTAGATCCAACCAGAGGTTTTTGGGGTAGAGCAGCTCTAACCGAACCATCAACAAAAAGCCTGAGGTTACGCTAAATGATGTATTGTATAACAGCCGTGCCTTTAAATCCTTTGCAACTTGTTAATAATCAAAACCATAGATTTCTTCTTCTCAGTTTAGGTATCTAGCAAAATTTTGGAATTTTAGTTTGGCCAGCTACAAGCATAAATTGCATGTCCAAATGTCAAAAATAAAGCTCAAAGTCAGGTATAACAAACGATGTTTCACAGATTTTAGCAAGTACTAAGCCATCTCAGCTACAATCAGCTCCCCCTCTGAACAATTACTATTATTACAAACCTACAGCCAATCAGAGGGTTCTTAGCTAAAGAAGCTCTTACCCATTCCTCAACCACAGCAATCTTATGGTCATGCTAAGTGATTTGTCGTCCAAAAGCCAGGCCTGGTTAGATTTCAAAGGTTATATATTTTTCAACTAGTTAATAAACGAAAACATAACCACAAATCTTTGATTTTTTTCTCAGTTTAGGTATCAAAACAAAATTTGGAATTTTGGTTTGGCCACTACCTGCATAACTTGCCCCATCCAGGTGCTAGAAATAAAGCTCAATATACAAAGGATAACCAACAATGTTTCACAAATTTAAGCAAATAGTAGACCACATCAGTGACAATCAGCTTCTTCCCTGAACAATCACCACAAATTCTCCAAAGAGCAAAGATATGTATGAAGAATCCGTATAAACACTTAGCACTTAAATGATTTAAAAGATATTTTTTTAAAGAACAAAGGCGGCATGAAATATGTAGAATGCAAAATTTGAATTTCACTGAAAGTAAAACTAGTTACATACATCATCAGCACAAACTTTTTCAGGCACTAAACGGTCATTTCTGTCACCAAAGCCCAAATTTCCATACCGACCCCAACCCCATCCAAAAAGACCGCCATCTTCTGTTACAGCAGCAGAGTGTTCAGCACCCGCAGCAACCATTTTAACAGAAATTCCCTGACAGAATTTACAAGAAGATTATAAGAATCTGTTTTGTAGTAAAAAAGAACGCTTCTGTGATTGATCACTAAAGGAAAACATCTAAATTTATAAATGAAAAAATAAAAGACAGAAAACTAGAAATTAAATCTTAATTTTTTCATGGTAAACATATTAGTAATCTCTATGATTACCACACAAAGAACTATAGATAGAATTTTAACGATATACTTACATGATTATCCAAAGAGGGTTAACAATAATGATGATGACCCAGATAACCGAACTTGAAACACTAATGAATCATTAGACATACAAACGCAGCCTAAACAAACAGTAATCCAAAGTCTAACCGAGTGAAATGCTACCAGCTACTTGTAGCACTAAAAATGGTACAGGCAAAAACATAATAGCAAATAGCCAAAAGCCAGTCTCCTAACTACTCTATACCTCAAAATATTTGAGTAGAAAAATTATTCAATAGAAAAACAAGCTAACCTACAATCTTTATTGTGAATGATTACGTAGGTCAAGACAACAGACCATCGCCTCCAAAGAAACAAAAGGATATTTGAAAGGAGTTTTCTGTTAGAAGTTGGGATGAGTAATTAAGCTGCAAAAGAAAAAAAAAACAGATGGCTACTATTTCCACACACAAAAAAAAAAAGATATATTGACAAGCCTGAAATTAGATTACGAACTAAATAGCTAAGTTTCTCATATACAATAAAGAATAAACCACAACTCTGACAGAAGTTATCTTAATCCACAATTCAGCAAAGTTAAGCCATCTTAAATAATCTGCTCAGAAATATACCATAATCATTGAGTGGCAAAAAAACAAAAAAATCTAAAAATAGTTCCATCCTCTTATTTTATTCTAGAATTCATTTTTCCTACAATTAAGTAGATTTAAAGAGTTACGGGAAATAAAGTTCCACATAAAATTCTACTGCCTATCTCATATCAACTGCAGAAAGGAATTGGAAATTCAGCCTAGCATAAATTTTGTGCAATCAGATCATATGAAATAATAGGAAGTTTGAAAGGCCTCAATGAAACAAACATACAAAATGCTATTGGGAATCTTGTCAAGCATTCAAAGAAAGAAGATTTGTAACTTGAAAATTTCTATAGGAGAATAAATACTCAAGGGTAACTTGACTAGTTCCACATGCTAAAAAATATATGATAAATAAATGAGCATGTAAACATCTGCGGGTTACAATTTTGTTTGGGATAAAATTGATCTGAATTGAGGATCAGCTCATCCAGCTTACATAAAATTATATTATTAGAATAAACAATATCTTATCAAGCCTAATAATTAAAAAAAAATTTGAGGTATTCCAGAAAATAAAAGCATTTTATGGTACCTGAAAAGCTTGAATTTTCTGTGGTATAAGAGAATCTTCATTGGTGCCAAGACCAAGCTGGCCATTTTGGTTCCTCCCCCAACTTCAATGAAACAATATGAAAAAATAAGAAAATCAAATTCAAGAAAGTAAGGAGCATGTACATTGTGAAGTTAACAATATTTAACTTCAAAGGCAAAGTACATCAAATAGGTAATGACAAACTTTTGGGCTACTTTTTAAAAATATTAAAAGTAAAAAACAAAGAAAGTTGAGAATGTAGTAAAAAATTTACCACTTGGGTTAAAAAAACATGATTTATTTAACCAAGAAGTCTTCTGGATTCATTCAAGAAAGAAATAAGCAGATGGTTCAAAAGTGAAATGCAATACTTGGTTAAAAAAGCAACATGTATCAACATACAAGAGGCGAATGTATTATACGAGAAGAAAAGAATATTTCGCTCAGAAGAATATATAGATAAAACAGCTCAAATAATTCATACCGACTGGATCTATTAAAAAACGTAAGGATGCCATAGAATTTATTCACTATAAAGAGTAAATAAAATACAGACCTTTGAACCACTCCCTGCATGGTTACAGCCAAGCAATGGCTATCACCACAGGCAATCTGTTTAATCCTTATGCCTTGTAATGCCTTGATTGGTTGTGGTGTAAAAACATCACTGGAATTACCATGGCCCAACCTCCCAAAGTCACCCCTACAAGAATAACAAAAACAAAAGTAGGTCAAATAAAAAAAACAGTTTCATATTCGATCAACTTATTTCATACAACTAAATACTGACTTAAAACTAAGAACCCGTCTTTATCATGAATGATATTATTGTCTTCATGATATGTTGGACATGCATGGAAGTCATAAGCTCTAAATTCTTTCATCATAAAAGTAATATGCAAATAACACATGAAAGATTATTTTTTTTTTTTCATAGAAAGATGTAATGCTGATTATAGATAACCTACTGTTAGAATCAATCGAATAATATTTTAGGTGGAAAACGAAATTTGTTCTTGTGTTTTTTTCATATTTTTATATGTCATCTTAAATCTATGCCTCGTACTTTATCGCAATTAAAAAAAGAACATTAAAATCAATGGTTCATTAAGTCAATGCCATAATAAGCTAAAAAAAGAGCAGCTACCACTTCACTAATTATGTTTAATGTAACCCAAATCTTTCCCATAATTCATGATATGAAGCAATTGCTTAGTTATGGCACTAAGCTATTACCATATGCATGAAGCATTCCAAGTATTCCTAGTCTTCAAAATTGCTTAGAAGTACAAAATTAACTTGGAAAAAGTGCACATGCAATGTGGATAGGAAGGGATAAATCATATAAAATAGACTTTATCTAAAATGTCAGAAAGAAGTAAAGTACATCACAAAAGTCATAAAAATAATAATGAATAATACCATCCCCAACTATAAACTTGCAATTCAGATTCAGAATATGCTGTAGTATGATCAGCTCCACAAATAACCGAAAATATTTCCAAGCCATCCAATGTCCGCAGAAGAGTCGGAAGAAGACTATCTTCTGCATCTCCATGGCCAAGTTGCCCATCTTCACCTCGTCCCCATGAACAAACAACTTTATCCGCTGTTATAAGGTCAAATAAGCTATCAGTATTGGTTTTTGAGAAAGTAGACAACATATATAATTAAGTTTTTTCTTTTCTTTTTTTTTTGGGATCTCCATTTAGCATTCAGCATTCATTTGGATTTTGGACTATTGCAATCATATAAATTTCCTGGCCGACAAGTTGCAAAACGCAACTTCCCAGCCACATCTACTCTAGCTAGCAGCAGCTTCAGCAAAGAGGGAGCTCCCAAAACATGTTCTTAGTGAAAATAACAATGATAGGCAACGATCTCGAGTAAATTATTAAATTCTAACAAGCGGAATATCTAGCACAAACTGAGAATTAGGTTTATTGCTGCTCTTGCTGATTTACCTTTCAGGTACCACCTACAAATGATACTTCCTTCCAAGAAAAACTAGAAAAAAAGGCAAGCGCCAAAAAGTTTTTAATCTAGATTCAAATTTTTATGCTTTGTCCTTCGTTTGACACATTAGATAGGGATGAGTGTGAATAAACGCCTTGAGATCTGGCTTGGGATTTGAACTCTTGTAAATAAAGTCTTTAAACTACACTTCACTGAAAATTGTACCTCAAAAGGAATAAGAATTATAAAGTTTCCTCGTTGCAAAGATATTTAACAAAAACTCCTTTAATTCAAAAACGTTTGAAAAGTTAAGTCCTCATTTGTTGTTTGGGTGCAGCTTAAGGTGAGCTTAAGTGGACTTAGGACAGCTAGACCAGCCAAATATATAAACATCATTCGCTTTATCATGACTATTTGGAGTCAGTTTTAGTAATCCTTAACCTTCAATCATTCATGTTGAGTTCTACATGGATTTAAATCATTTTTTGTGCATTTCTTTTTTCACAATTGTATACAAATTATCTTCAGTTTAACATTCCTAATCCTTCAATATTCATTTATCTGTCTTCCTTATAAATACATGTTCTATGCTATGTAGTACATGTCCAAACCACTTAAATTTATTATTACTACATTATCTCAATAAATACTATTCCCGTTGTACCTCTAATATAATCTCTTATGAATCTATCATTCCTAGATTTTCCACTCTTCTTATTTCTTTCGTGTCAAACTTATCTCATTAAATTTTTAATCGCCCACATTCAAATCAATACAATCATTTATTGAATACTTCAATACCATTATACCAAAACCCAAAGTACCTTTTGCCCAAATAATGGAGAGATTAGAGTTAATTCTATCATCTATTAGCTGATAATACTAATCAATACTATATCATCAATGCCCTATGATGTGTATTACACCTAAGATTTGATTTCTTTTAAACATACAAGTGAATAATGTTTGAGTTCTTAAAACAATTAATTATGTCCTAATTAGACTGTTCATAAAAAAATTACAAATAATTTCTTGGAGCACTTCTATAAAAATAGGGTTAGTGCTGAAATTTTTAAGATAAATAGGATTTGTGATAGGATGATTGTTTTTAAGATAATTATCAGTAAAGGAATTATACAAATGTGTAGTGATAATGCTTCTTAAATTGGATTAGAATATAGTTCAAGAAAATCAATTTCTGGAAGAGATGTTGAACTACTATTAGTGCATGCCAGACCAAGAATGGATTTCTCTTGGAGGGAATTTCAATGGGCACAAATAATCTAATGGGCTGGTCAATAAAATGATTCATAGCATTCATGAATTAGTATATAGAAATACAGCAAGAAAAGCTATAGTTGATTTATAGTAGCCTTTGACCTTGCAATGACGAAAACATTAAAATATAAGAAAAAACATTTAGTTACCTACAAAGGTGAAGCCGCCATAAATAAATAAATTTCTTCCTTCTTAAAAAGAAAGAAAAAAAAATTCAAATATTGTAAGATAAATCTAGAAGAGAGTTTCTTTATATATATAGTAGTTATAGATGTTTATCTTAAAAGTATAAAGAAAAACAATTAAAAAAAGTAACAGAGATTGAAATATAAGAAATTATTGATTTTTTAAGATAAGTTGCTAAGAGAGACAAATTATAATTCTTTGATAGGGCTAAATCTAATGTGACCATGTGAGATAAGATAATCAGTTCCATTAAGAAGACTTCCGTGGAAGTTTTATAAGAGTCTCGAAAGGTACACGTGGTTATCAAAGAAAAAATGAATACTTAAAGGATAGGAAAAATTGATTACTATTGAGGAAAAAAAGTATAGCGCCTAAAGCAAAAGCTATATTTTTATAAGATACAAAAAGTATAGTATTAAAATAGAAAAGATGAGATATATAGAATAGCTACTACAAAAAACAAAATATTCAAAAATTCTGATCAAGCTAGACGCAATAAAAATGAATATAATAGAATCTTGATTTAAAATAAATCAAAGAACGATGGAAATACTACTTTGAAAAGTTAGACATTTTATTTTAGAAGACAATAATGAGCAAAACAAAGATATTACTATTCAATAATATAAAAAAGCAGGGTAAAGTTCTCTTTACACAATTTGCATAAAGATAAAATATTTGTTCCAAATGAGATACCTATTAAAATTTGGATAGCAATGGGTAAGAGTAAAACTAGAATTTGGTCTGATTGGCCTCACTAGACATGAATCCCCAACTAACTCTATTCCGTTCCATCAATATTTGACCCAAAACTCAACCCCTTGAGAATCAAACTAAAATCAAACAATATTCTTTAGTTTGATTTTGGTTCGATTCTCGGGTTTAATTAATGCTCGTGGGCATACCATTATTTTATTTCCAATCAAATTCATTCAAAGAAGAAAAATGCTTCAACCACTATTTACAGCCTCACTAAAGAAAAATCTCTTATAGAAGTAATTTTGGTACTAAGACAATTAAATCAATAAGCTTGAACAAATTACATCAATTTTAGAAAACCAATTTGATTTCATAACAGAAAAATCTCTTATAGAGGTAATTTTGGTACTAAGACAATTAATGAAAAAGTATAGAGAGCAAGGAAATAATATTTATATGATTTTTATTAAACTTGAGAAGGCATATAATTAAGTACAATGAGAATTAATTTGATCCACACTAAAGCAAAAAATGATGTGTCAAAGATACAATAATATTATTACTGATATATATGAAAGAGTGATAATTAATATTAGAAGTAGTTGCAAAGTAATCAAAGAGTTTTCATTCACATCAAGAATTAAACTTGAGTACAAATCTTTTTGGTTTGATTATCAAAATGATAATAAAAATGATTAAAGTGAGGTTCCTTAGTATATATTTTTTGCAAATAATATAATTCTCATCAGTGAGACATCATTGAAATAAATAAAAAATTAGAACAATTGACAAAATTTAAAAAAGCGGGGACTTAGAAATGATTAATAAAAGACAGGATACATAATATGCAATTTATGTATGTAAGATGTTAACAATTGGCAATCAATATTATTAGAAGATAAAAGTGATACCTACGTATGATCAGTTTAAATATCTTGGATTTATTATATCAAAAAATGAAGATATGATATAACTTCTAGATTCATGGTTAATATTTAAAGTAAATAAGTGTCGCAATAAAAGGATGCTATGGACACCTAAAGGTAAATTTTATGAACCATAAATAGGCCAATGATTTTGTATGTAACTAGTGCTTTGTATTAAAAAAGTTGTTGATATCTAAGTTGATTTCGGCATAAATTAAACTATTAAGCTGATGTATGGGACAGCTAGAAAGGATAAATATGGAATTATTATATTTGAGGAGCAATTAGAGCGCCATCTATTAAAGATAAAGTGCGCTATATATTAAAGATAAAGTAATTGTAAATAGACTGAAGTGATTTAGATATATATTATGAAGGGTAAAGAATGCATCCATTGGATGAGTAAATAAAATTGGTGATAAAGGAATAGATATGAGTAAACATAAAGTAACATGGGTATAGTTATCCAAAATAATTTGCGAAAAAATAGGATTAACACTTGAGGCGACATTCAACATAAATGAATAAGCAACACGAAAACACCATCACCAAGCCACCGCTCAACCATCAACATTGCCTCCGTCATCCAACGTCTCCCACCAAATACGTAGCTCCAACCACGGTCGCCCGCATAATAAGATGCTTGGACCACCATCGCCTACCGAATACGATCCTCCGACCACAATCATTCACCGACTACGATCCTCCGACCACAGTCGCCTACTAACAACAGTTCTTCAACCACAATCACCTACCAACTATGATCCTCAGGCCTTATTCGCCGGCCGACTATGGTTCATAGACCTCTTCACCCACCAATGACCCCGAACCTTCATCGCTCGACTATGGTCCCCAACCTCCTTGCCCGACTATAGTCTTCCAAATAGTCCTCAAACCACCATCAACCGTTGTCTCTTAACTACAGTCCTCGGATCAATGTCATCGAACTACAGTCCCTTCGACCTCCTTTGTTCGCCGACTAAAGTCCTCCAACCTCCGTCGCCTGCCAATTAGGTCCTTCGACAACCATCATCTGACTATGATTCACCGATCTATAATCTCCTGACTTGTGACTCCTAGCTACTTCAATACATATCGACTTCATCACCTACCATCGTTGATAATGTCAATGCATGTCATCACTTATAAGTTCGATGTACGTCGTCGACGTTAACTTTGACTATCAACTTAAGCACCTGGATCTGTGTTTCAACTTCAAACAACTAACATATTATTTACATTATATCAATATCTTCTCCTGAAAAAGGACTTAACTTGTAATCAAATACAAATACTAGTAGAATCACTTTAACTAGGCCAGTCCCCATAGTTTTTCCCTTCTCAGGTTTTTTACGTAAAAAAATTTAGCATCTCTTATAGTTTGTGCATTCATCTCTGATATATGTGTGTGTTGGATATTTGTAAATAGCTAGAACTTTAAACTCTCTATTTCTCACCACCACAAATATTTCAGCACACAATAATTATTTCCCCATAATTAACTGGATCAACCCGTCAATGATGTTCAATAGCTCATGAAGTATGCGATCATCTTCATATCATCATTAGATCATTATACCAATTATTTATGGTTGGAACGTTAATCATAAAGCATCCATTCAACATTTAAGTGCCTTTATGATGTTCAGATTAACTAATCTTAGACTCATTAAATTCCTCTCATCGAGCCACTCGAGTCAACTATAAGCATATCAAATTTGGAGATTATTTGTTTATCCAATTAACGCTCTAAAATTTTCAATTATACTTCAGGCTCTTGATTTGTGCTCGAATTGGACTATTTTTGTGTCATTGGGGGTCCATCTCGTAGAGACATTCAGTTTGACAAAACTTTTCTAAAATCACAGTATGGGTGGTCCCTAATTTAATTTTAAAAGTTTTTAATTTAAATATGCCTCAAGATTTATACTTGATCAAGGCAATTTTTTTTAATATCAATAATATTGAATCAAAAGAATAATTATTATAACATTGCAAAATTGAGGAAAGCATATATGGGTCCGTTACATATATAGGCTTTAGGGATTTAAAGCACTGAGCATTGAATCCATACCTAATTGCTATATGAAGTTTTTTTAGGTGTGGAAGTAAATAATTACATGTTTCATAATGAACATGAAAAGGCTTACTAAGAATGAAGTTGAAGAAAACCTTTAACAAGTTTTAAAAAACCAAGAAGCATATGTGCACTTATAGCTTGAGGATGTATCATGTTAAATATATGATTTATGATACCTCATAATAAATTATTAGTTGATGACATCATGCATGATGAGTTTAGAGTTAAGCATTAAATTATTTGAACTATAATCTCTAGTGAATCTGTTAAGAAAAGTTATTAAAGATTTAAATATAAGGATAAAGAATCCAACCTTGTCAAAAGAGAGCATCCATTATAAGTAGACCTTATTGGCTTATATGCATGGGTGTGTCGACATAAATATGTAAGAATATGAACACATATGAAATGGATTAAAGGCCAATGTTATGCTTTGTTAACAAAAAGGCTTAAGATGGGTTAGTTTATGTCATCAATTGTTATGCTTCCATGTTGGCTTTTAATCATCCACATGAAAATGTTATGCTTCCATGTTGTGGACTCAACCTAACTTGGTGACCTAGAGATCATGAAAATTGGATGATTCTATGGCACAAATAACATGACTTTCCTTCTGACACCTCTAAGTTTACTAAACGCTAAAGCTTGCTTCAAATACTTCTTAAAGCAACCAAAGCTTTACTAATTAGTATTGCGCTATAAGAAATAAACCATCACGAATCTCAAATAGATCAGCGAGTTGCTCTGCAACTGTGTTTCGCAAGACCCAGAAAGCATAGACTGATGCTCGTACAGTCTAAAGTTGTCTTTCGCATGTCTTCCACACAAATTAAAATTGTATATGAATTATTTCCCCCAAAGGTTGTATTTTCAGGTAAGGAGGATACTCGCAAACCATAAAATGAACTTTCCACACAAGACAAGCTAAACCAGTTTAAAATACAAATTCACAGAACCTATTCACAACAAAAACTACATTCCAGCCTATCAAACAAACCATCAAAACTCAAAAAATCCCTCAGGATTCGAACGTGACAAAATTAAACCTTCGAACAGAGAAAAATAGTCTGCCGCTCAAAGTCAACTGAGCGAATTAAGAAGCAGCAGCGAGAAGCGGAGAGGGAATATGACTGTTATCTACTCACATAGGAGAGCCACGGAATGGCTGGCCCCAGCAGAGACGAGGACGACGTGGCGTGCCGGAGAATCAGCCATTTGCCCTCCGGCTGCCGAACGGTAAATACTGACGAAGTGGAGAAGAGGGTGTGATGTTCCTCCGAGAAAAGAAGAGTTCCGTGGAGATAATAATGGCGGGGATCTCAGCACGGTGTGCGCTGATTAATCTAGCTCTGTATGCATTGGGCACGGCATTCATTGCGATTTGCGAATGAGAGGAGAGAGAAAGTAAACAGATGAGACTTGAGAGGACCCCCCCGCGCTCTCTCTCTCTCTAGTGTCCTTTCTCATATTTTCTTATTGATATAGAAACTTCACATTAATAAAAAAATTAGCTGCGTGCCCCAAAAAAATTAAAGCTACGTCTTAAGTAAGAAAAAAATATTCAGATGTAAGTTTAAAAATATTTTTTTTTAATATTTTCACTGGCTTTGTAAAAGTATGGGGCCTCGATAAGATTAAAAAATTGTGCTATATATTTAATAATTTATGGTGTATTAGTTTAAATTTTATTTATTATTTTATATAATTAAATAATGTGATAATATAATGTACAAGTTAGAGATTTAAAAGTTGATGATGTCAATGAAAGATGACAAATCTCATTAGATATTGTTGATAAAGACTGATGACTAAATTTTGTTTAAAAAATTAGAATTTATTTTTATATTTAAAATTCATAGAAATATTATAAAGCTTTTAAAATGGATGCATGCATAAAATTGATGCTTCATTTAAAAAAAAAATTATTTGGGTGTGAATCTCAAGGCATATTTGAATAGTTTCAACTTAAATTTCAATGAATTTATTGTCAAACTAAATGTATCAACCCAGCAAATCAATTGACATCATAACTTATTTGATTTGACTCTATATGAACTGAAATCAAATATTTGAGATATAATTAGAAACTCTAAGATATTAAGTGAATGATAAATAATTTTTAAATATCGCATACTTATAAAGTTATAATCAAATCGAGCGTCTTAACGAAAGAAATATAAAGAGCCTAATTTCAGCATCATTAAGGCATTTAAATGGAATCAATATGAGCCACCTTGAGTATTTTGGATGTTGACTATATTCAAAGGGCATATCACTCTAAAAAAATTATTGATAGACCCATGGGAGGTGATCACACATGATAGTATTTCTAAGTATTTTTAAGTGGTGAATAATACAATATTTAATATGCTAAATTTGTATAGAGTTGGCTATTTCACTCATGTTTAAAATATTTACTCTCACATTTAGCATTGTAATTACAAGGCGATAATAATATTTGCGTACTTACATAATTACATGTGTTATTAGAATAATTATGCATGATAACTAATGTAGTCGTATAAATTTATTTATGTCATGCTCAATAAATAATAAAGTAACTCGCTTAATTTAAACATTAACATGCAACTTAGCTTTACCTGTGTGGTACTTAGTGTATAATTAAATCAATTTATTACTAATGTATGTAATATAATATAATTGATTGAATTATCAAAGATTGTGGTTATTATTTGATCACTCATTTATATTAATTTTTATGTATCATGTAGATTACATCTCTTATATTTGTACACATTAATTATATTTAGTTTAAATTTTAACTACACTTTGTTATACATCTGTCACAAAAGTAATCAACTGAAGATTGGAGGAATGTTATTGAATTCAACATCACTAATAATGCCCTTGGCAGATTGCTAGAAGATCCACTTGTTAAGTAATCTAGTGATCCGCCAAGTCAACCGTCAAAGTAGTCATCCAAAGAATATGTAATATCCGCTATTCCAAGATCCAACTAATTGGCCTACTTTGGGTTCAACCCTTACTTATTTCTAATTTAGTTATAAATTAGAAGTTTTATAGTGACTACTTAACTTTAATGAGTTTAGAATTGAAAGGGAGGAGAGAAATCATATGAGGCAAAATGTTCTTTAGAATCTTGTGAATCTGTTTTCACTGTTTGGAAAAAGAATTGAAGAAGCATTGCAATGCTTAGCTCTCAATTTAGAGGAATATGCACTATGACACTAGAAAAGTGAGCAATGCAGTGCTGGGTCAAAAATGTTCTTTTTTAAATAAAATATATAAATTTATTTCTCATTTTTACCTCACTTGCCCCTTGTTTTCATAAAATGTCGGAGAAGGGAAGGAAAAGGAGTGAGATATGAAGGTAAGAGAGAAAAAGAAGAGAGAGCTTTGGAGGCCTCAGAGTTGAATTCATACATCGGGCTAGTTAAGGATTTTGTTGAGCATGAGGTTGGCTTCTAAACATTCATCCTTGATTTCAATTTTGATAAGTATATAACAAGATATAGACAAAAATAATTTTTTTCTTAGGCTTTATAACATTTTCACCAAGTAATTTTTTTGTATATTATTGAATGTTTTATTATGAACACTTCGACTGTTATAATTTTACAAGCTAATTTTCTCTATATTAATTTCTATGTATATTGAATAAATAAGGCATCTCTGATACTGATGATGGTTCTCTAAAAATCTTAAAATATTATTATAATTGTTCCTCTAGAATTGTAATTAGAAATGAAAATGTTAAGTGTGTGTGAATCCTTACACATGCAATGCTATCTAATTAATTTTGATAATTTTGGTATATCATATTTATGTTTAAGTTATAATTATCTACTAAAATATTCATAGTGCATGATTTATGGCATAACATGGGAGAAACTCTGATATCTGAAATGTTATAAGGGCATTTTCTAGAATGCTATTAGGGCCTTACAAGTTTTGTTCTAGCCCCATCTATCATGGGTAGATGTGGGAGGTTCTTTACCACACTTGTTTTATGCAAAAGGGATTTTCTATCATGTTCTAACTCCACTTGCTTTGTGCGGGTGTGGGAAGTTTAAAAAAGAGTTATAAGTTAAAGTTGAGTTATAAGCATAATCGAAATATGTGCATAGTATATCAATGCATTGCATATTATGATAATTCAAATAAGCTCAAGTGTAGTAAATATTCTGATAGTACATATATTCTAACATTATGATATCTTTGTGAAATTTATCTATAAAAGTACATATAATGACTCTAATAATAAGCACATTCTAACAACTCTATAAAAATATATTTATGAAATGCATAAAGATAAATGTTATGTACAAAATCATGTAGTAATTTATGAATTGATGTTTCTGAAATACAAATATGTTAGGTTTTATATAAGTTACTTTTGTTAGCACTTACTTTATACTATGAAGTTTTAATTTGTTATTTATAGCAAAATAGTTATTGGTATATGTGGTGGGGATACTGAAGAAGTCTTTTGAGCTTGTCGTGTTCTATTTATAGAATTTCTCTAATATTTCAGGAAAATGAAAGGGTCCAGCAAGGTAGAGCTGATAAGGGCAGGATTGTCAAGACCAGGATTTTAAGGCATTTTGTAATCTAGTTATTTATTTTTTTAAGTATAGCTTTTGTATGAACTAGATTATTGTATATGATTTTTGGAAAATGAATTTTTTATAATACTTTCAAATGTTATTATTATTTCGGATTATTTAGTTGGCTTTGAATTATTTTGCATTCTGGTTGAAAAAAAAGTAAATTTATATATTTAATTCTTCCATTAGAACCTAAGGCGTGACACATTAAGTTTCCAAAGTGCCATCATGAAGCCCAAACCATACTTTGGAGGCTTATAATGAGATGTATATGATCATTATGAAAGAGTTGGGAAGATATATTTTTAAAGAAGGATCCATTAAAAGCTTCATAAAGGAACTTTGACTAATGTAACATAAGATTTAGGCTTACACTACATCCATAGAATCTTCCCCAAATTTTAAGGATGGTGTCATGAATCAACTGATAAAAGTAGTTTGGAATGGTGATAAAAATTTGGACTTTATTTTGACATCATGTACTTACATATTCTTAAAAAGAAATTATTCCTTGAAGTAGTAGAAACACTATAATATGTTACATAGTCCATGTATTATTTATGATTTATATTAATAAAAAATCTCATATGTTCTCATCCTTTTTTTTTTTTTACTTTTTGCTTTCTCATTTTTTTATATATCAAATGGATTATTTAATGGATTTCATAAACTTATTTTCTAAGCCAAAAGAATATTATTTAGATTATGAGAAAATTTATTTTTCTCATTGTGTCAAAATGGACTAGTTAAGTAAGTGCATGATAGAGTTTTTAAGCGTTCAACCATACATTGAAAATTTGTTCAACAAATTTCATGATAAAACCAAAATTTTTCAATGAGAATAAAAAAATAATAATTCTCAAGGTCAGTCTATATTGGATGGCATATTTCTGGTTATATTGCAAGACAGATTGATCAATCCTTTTTTGAATTTTGGATACTTCATTAAATAATGTCAAACTTTTAAAGTGAAGATTTGTAATGACCACTTCTATAGTACTGAGTACATATGATGCCCTCAATTAAATTTGGTAAGATTTTCAAGTCCATTTGATATCTGACGAAATTTTGTTAATTTTTAAAAATATATATATTTTAAAAAAATTTATACTTAAAATCATGAATGATAATATATTTTAAGTGTATTTTCTATTAATTTTTTTTTAAAATGTGTCAGGTCACAAGCTAACGAGTTGAGTTAGAATTAGCTCAGCTTACAAGTCATTTATTGAGTTGATCATAAACTTGCTCATGAGTCGACTTGACTCACATACACCACTGTAGGGGTGTCAATTCCGGGTCACGGGTCGGGTTCGGGTTGAACCCGAAACTAACTGGGCATTATTCGGGTCAACATGAACCCGAACCATTTTTGAAAACGGGTCAATTTTCCTGACCCGAACCCGACCCGTTTCGGGTCCGGTTCAATCCGATACTACCCGAATGATCCTTTTCCAACAAAAAATTGTTAGTTTTCGGGTCAAAAACGGGTCTATCTCCTCTTTTTTGGGTCAAGAATGGGTCTATCTCAGTTTTTTTCGTGTAAAAAATGGGTCAAAATCGGGTCAATCTCGGGTTGTCTGGTCAAAATCGGTTTTTCGGGTCAAAACGGGTCAATTTCGGGTCAAAGGGTTAACCCGAACCAAACCTGATTTTTGAAACGGGTCGAAATGTTGAACCCGAACCCGACTCATTTCGGGTTGACCCTAACCCGAAACTTTCGAGTCGGGTTCGAATAAGATTTTCGGATCGTGTCAAATATTGACACCCCTACACCACTACATCTAATGGTAGCAAAAAAAAACTCAATTCCTAAATAACTAAATAGTTTAATTAGGAGCTTTGAACAGTACATCCAAGGGTAGAAAAAAAAT